AGGGTATGCTCATACTCAGTTTGCTCAGTAGTTCCTTCTTTAACATGAAACTCCCAAAATTTCGGACACCTGCAAATTCTCTCATTGGACTACGTTTTGCAGTTAGGAGCTAAAATTCCTGGCTCAGTTTAGAAACAACGTATGTACCATTAGTTTCCCTACGAGCAAAAGTGTTTTTGTCGAATTGTAGTTTCAAATTTCAGAATGTTGTCCAATTATCCAAAAAAAAAAAAAAAAAAAAAAAAAAAAAAAAAAAAAAAAAAAAATTATCATTTTTTGGGTTATTAAAAATCGACGGATTTCAGTTTCAACTGTATAGGTTGACCTTTTCATTTCATACAGTGCACGACAGCAGAAACTCTTGGTTTTTTATTATTATTGTTTTTTTAACAATTGCGAGTGGAAAAATAAATTAAACCAATAATTGAACCCGAACCGAGATATGCTCCCGGACGCATAACGGACCAGGATCGTAAAATGAAGAGCAAACATCAAATAAGGGTTCCGAACCATTTTTCCATCCCCGAAAGGAATAACCAGGCGAGGGGTGGGGGGTTCACTACTGCTTTTCCCGGCTTTCTTTACTTTTCGAGTCAATTAATTTGCCGCCCTATTGTGCGAGTCCTCACAATAGATTCTTTGTCAATTTTCCAGCTCTATAAGTTATACTCGCGTCGTTGCCGATGTGATTTAAGTGAGTTGCCAAATTTTCGAGGAGGGCGACATTATCGATTTTCAGTTTTTTATGCTAATCGATTCTTCCATATCTCAAGAACATGTAAATGCATGTAAAAGTCCTGGCTCAGTTCGGAAATAACGTATGTACCATTCGTTTCCCTATGTGCAAAAATGTTTTTCCCGAATTGTAGTTTCAAATTTCAGAATATTGTCCAACTATCCAAAAAAAAATTTAGCATTGTTTGGATTATTAAAAATCAACGGATTTCAGTTTCAAGTGTACATTTTGTCCTTTTCATTTCATGCAATGCAAAAGAGCAGAAACGCTTAGTTTTTTTTATTACCTGGTTTTTTATTTTAAATATTTCCATTTAAATTTAAAAGAGAATAATCCATGCAGAGTGTGCAAACATTTCAAAATCATGAGTTGAAAAACGCTGACTCCAGGAGTTAAAATATTAGAGCCTTACACGAAGCGGAGCGGTGTGCTGCCTGCGCAAAACGCGCAGTGGCGCCCACAAACCTAAAGGGATACTTCACGCATTGCGCAATGCTTAGAGTATCTCCTTAGGTTTGAAGGCGCCGATGAGAGTTGTGCTCTGGCCAGCCGGCCGCCGCGGAAATTTATATTTTTTTCCAAAACTTTCAGAAAATGTTGTACGCAATTTCTAAAAATCTTAAATATCTGAAAATTTCAAGGGTAAGCATATTTAAATTGCGTCAAAAATACATGTTTAATGAAGAGAAATTTGGCAACTCTCGAATGTTCATACGGCGTTCTTCCTTAGCACGGCAGTATAAAGGTACTCTACGTCTCTCTCATGCCGCAATCAGACGCTGAATTTAGCACCTGAATGTGGAAGTCAACAGTCATCGCCCAACGGCTGAAATTTAGCAAATTCGAGTTATTTTCATCCAGATGTGTATCAAATCTACTCGAATAGTTCAGACAAATTCAAAATTGGTCCGATGGTTGCTGAGAATCGTTGCTGAATTTTGCGCGTCACGCGCAAAATTCGGGCATCGGGCCGATGACTTCCACATTCAAGCCACATTCAGCTCCCACATTCAGCGTGTGATTGCGGCATGAAGCACGACAAGAGGATCGTGACCAATGCAATATTTTAAGCGAGATTTGGCAACAGCAGACTCGCTCCGGATCCCCGCAAAATTATTCCCCCTTTTGTGAGCCAGCCCGTGGGCCCTTTTTATTTAAAACTTGTCCGTAGGTAGGCAAGAATCGCCGGATAATAATGTGTTATTATTTGTCTTGATTTCATTGTGTTACGTCTTAGGATTCGGTTTGAAAGGAAGACGTACCTAACCGCTCGGAGCTTGCAATTCTGCCGTGCTAAGGAAGAACGCCGTATGTACATTCTAGAGTTGCCAAATTTCCTTCGATAAAATGTTAATTTTTGAGGAGAATAATGAATATTTTTCCTTGAAATTTTCAGACGTTTTAGATCAAAGTACGAACAAAATTACCTGAGAAATTGGTAGACAAACATTCGAAAATTCTCCTGAAAATTAGTGATTCGCCAGGGGAAATTTGGCAACGCCTGAAGGCTCATACGGCGTTTTTCCTCAGCACGGCAGAATTCCACTTTGGGCACGACTCAAATCTCGCGTCGCACAGTGGATCGAGTCAATAGGAGAGGTCGGACAACATTTGGAAACTTAAAAAGCTCATAACTCCGTTTATACAAAATTTTTAGAACCTAGAAGAGGTTCCATTGGTTTCCTCGTGAAATTATCTTCCCGAACCACCCATTAAAGTTTATAATGTGATAAACGTCAAAATTTGCAGTTTTAGTCAAAAATTTCATGTCCGACCTCTCAAATTGACTCGATCCACTGTGCCTCGTTTCTCGATTTTCGACAATTTCAAATGTTCTCCTACCACAAATGGCTCCGCACTGAAAAAAAATTATCGGCGTTTTTACCAAGGTCGTCCGTTGGTACCTTTATCATCTCACTTTTTTTACCAATTATTAGTAATTTTACAAAGACAGGCTGGTAAGCTTACCTAAAAACCGGTATTTTTACTGTTTTTCAGGTAAGAATACCACTTTTATTGGTAATCAATTTCTGGTAACGTTGCCATTTTCTCTCGTTAATTCTACCACAGTCGATAAAAAATATTGGAGTTTTTACCAAAGTCCAGTGAAATTACCGAGAAAGTTCAATAATTTTACCGAGATTTCTCGGTAAAATTACCAATTCCATAAATGGTAATTTTAACAAGAAAAAACTGGGATCAAATAGAACCCTGAATTCTTGGTAATTTCATCCTTTCCTTAGTAAATACACCGAGAGTTTTTTTTCAGTGCGGTGACAACCTTGATTGTCAGACATTTTGGAGGGTGAAGTCACTTGAGACTCGCTCGAAAGTTGCAAGGTTGCACGCGGTGCCGTCACGAGGATGGAGCGATAGAAGCGCACTGAAAAAAATTGAAGAAAATTATGAATATTTATCCTCGAAAGTTTTGGAATTTGTAGATCAAATAATTACGAGCAAAATCCTCTGAAAAACGGTGGAGAAATCCTCTTACTATTTTATTCTTGATTCGAAATAAAATCTTCTTGACGGCATACTCAAGAATACTTCTGCCTAAATTGAGTCACTTTTCCTCTAATGAAATTCAAAAATTATAATGGAACTTTATAAAGTACGGATGCTAGGAGTCAGTGAGTTTTTGGACTATACCGCTCTCTTTTTGTGTCGCAGTATCTTGATTTCCTTTGCGAGGGAGGCTCCGTGCTCAGGATACCTGTCATCCTCAATACGTTTGATTCAATTTCGTATGATACTGTGCAACACCTCTGTTGAGGTGCTGTTTCGTTGCTTGCGGCACGCTACAGGCTACAGGGCGGCGGCAGCCGGCTGGCCAGAGCACAACTCGCATTGGCGCCTTCAAACCTAAGGAGATACTCTAAGCATTGCGCAATACGAGAAGTATCCAGTTAGGTTTGAAGGCGCCAGTGCGCGTTTTGCGCAGGCAGCACACCGCTCCGCTTCGTGTGAGGCTCTAATATCTAAACTCGCGGAGTCAGCGTTTTTCAACTCATGATTTTGAAATGTTTGCACACTCTGCATGGATTATTCTCATTTAAATTGATGAAAAAAAAAAATACGTGTTAAAAGGAAAATATGATGTGTGTTGTGTAAATTTTAAGGAGGTTCCGTGTCAAATTTAATAAATCCTCAAGCACTTTAATTTTTTCTTTTACCTATATTTTATGCTTCTAATGTGCAGCAGCGTGGTGTACCTATGCGCAACCAAACGCTCAAAATTGGACGTATTGTAGCATGATATAGCATGATTATCGATGCCATCGCTTGGAAAACGTTTTGAACATGTAAATGTTTTTAAAACGAAGTCTTATTTTCATTTTAAAAAAAAGGTATATATTTATATGATTTTTATATAGCAGAGACTGTCATAATAACATTCAGCGCGCGATGTGAATCACGTAGAGAATTGAGTTTTCATGAGCGGGTGGTTTGAATTCACGTATCAAGAATCGTTAAATATCTTTGGAAGGAATTGAATTCGGTAATTTTCGTTGTGCGCGTCGTATTCTACGTGAAATTTTAGTTACGAATCATGTATCAGAATGCTGAAATTCGTACCTTGTCTAGTGGTCCATTCCATGGCTTTCTAAAGTCTCCTCTAACCAAAGTGATCAAAATTCCTTGACCTCATAAATCTACAATTAGCACGTGTAAAAAAATGTTGGCATTAATGCCACCACAAATGACAGGACGATGCGAAACTTTTTTTCTTCAGGTGCTTATTATTTAACTGACAGGAATTGCAATTCCGTAGTAAAAATTTCGTAGTTCTCTATTCACTTTTCCGAGTGTTACCCAGAGCATTGGACCCAGAACCAAACTGGGACTTAGTATACTTATTACAATACACTTGTTAATTATTCAATACACTTTGAGACCTGATTGATTGGAATGTTTTCTCAGACTTAAAATTTCAATATTTGTCAAAATTTCAGGTTTTCTTGTGAAATGCCATGACTTTTCCTGATTTCCTTGACCAAATGAAATTCGCAAATATTTTTCGGTTCCTCAGACTTATAGACAGTCTAAAGTGTGCTCCACTTTATGGCATAATTTCATACATCTGATTTCCTAGGTACTATCTGTAGAAAAAAATTTCATGAAAAGTTATTGCTTGAATGTTGAAGAAGAAAAAAAAATTCAAACGGTTATTCAAAATTCACATTCTTAGAATCAGAATTTTCAATGAAATAGAGTGTTTGAAATTCTTGAATAGCACGACAAAAATAAATCACCAAGACAGGAGTATAAAAAAGGCAAAAACTGTATTTGTATTGTATTAATTATGATGTAACATTATTTACAACAACAAAATTCAAAAAAGGAGTAGGTACCATGATAAAATAAAACCTGTTTCGCAAAGTTAAGATTTAACTGAGAGGGTACAAAAACAAGGAGAAGAGCAAAGAAAAGATTTAAAAAAAAACAAAGATTAATAAATAAAAAATAATAACATTAGTACATTAACCACAAACTTAAAAAATAAAAAAAAAGGTACCAAGTTTGTACAATACCAAGTACCTTACCTAACTACGAAACTATCACCTAACTGCAGCAAAATTAAAAAGCAATGACTCAAGACCTGCGCCTTAGTGCTGAATCCTGTTATCATGACCAACAACAACTCTTTGTTTAATTTTAAATATCAAAATATCTTTTCAATCCAGTAGAAGACTTAATGAAATAGTTGGCGACAAACTTCAAGAGATTATGTGCTTCTAAGAGGTGAAGTAAATTCTTTGCAAGGCAGTGATCGATATTATGCGGCTATCAGAGTAATTGATTTGGTGGTGTAGTTTACAGCAATATTTTTCTAAAATGCTGAGAAAGTTTTAGATTAATCCAGGCATTAAGTACTTTGATTCATATGTCTCAAACGGTAGGACTGTACTCTGATCAATCGAGTGAAATAGCATTTACAGGTGATGATTTCTTGACTCAGAAATTCATTATCAAACTTAGAAATATTTCAGAATGAAAGCAAAAGTCTGTTCAAAATAATTTCATTTGAACTGCATTCAGGAGAAAGGAACCAACGCGATTTCAGTGTTAAAAAAATCGCGCAACTTTATCCCTACACTTAGTAAATGCCTAGAATGGAAAATGGCTTTTGTTTTCTTTTCTTTTCTTTGCCAAAAAATGGTTAATTTCAAGGGAAACCCATTGTATACATTCCATTACTATACATATACTTAGTATTTAATAAGCGAAAGGGGTTGCACGATTTTGAATAATCTCTAATCACGTTGACTCCCTTCTGCTGAATGCAATCTATCATTCCATTTTTGGATGCCGTTAACTAAACAGAGGGGTTTTCATCCACTAGATTCTTGCTTTCATTATCGAGTGCGTGGGAATTTGAAATTCGGCATTGTGTCAAGACAAGAATCTACTGTCTTTATATCTTCCAAATTGTTGAAAAAAAAAAACCAAAGTAAAAATCAAATACAGATGTAAATCATACAGAGTTTAATTTACACCAAAATAATGCCTGGAGTCACCTTGAGAAAACCAATTCACAATATACATAGAACCAATCAGCCATTCATTTTTCAACTGATCTCTCACCTTTTTTTACCCAAAAACGCTGTATGAAAATCCGATGGTTGCCAAATTTCTTCTGATAAAACATTAGTTATTAAAGAAAGTCATGAGTAATTTTCTTTTAAATTTTTAGATACTCACGATCAAATTGAGAACAAAATTCTCTGAATAATTCAGGGAAAAATATTGATAAGTTTCCCAAAAAATTTGGGTTATGTTAAAGGAAATCTAGCAACGTCCAAAGCCCAATACAGCGATCTTCCTAAGCACAGCACTATTATACTGTCCTTGACGTGTCTCTTATTCTCAGGCAACTTTTCATACATTTTTTTTTTCATCACTGGACGCTCAGTTAAAGTAAAGCCCTATACAATTTTACATTAAATCCTCTTACTAGTAGGGAAATAAAACCATTTTACAGTGAAATTAAATTGATAGCTGCATTCCTATCGAGGCGATACATTGCAAGCATATGTTTAGAGTTCAGGATGGGTTAAAACTAATGCTACATAACTGACATAGTTGAAAGATGAATTACGCTCAGGTTGAAGGGGGAAGGGGGGGGGTCAAACCAAAAAAACTGCTACGCTCTACATTTTGTACCAAGTTGCATGAATTTTTCACGTAAAACGCTTGACTTACAGCAGTTTCAAGTGAAACATTCATCGAATAGAGAGGCATACTCTTGAATAGAGGAAAGATAGAAAACTATGCAGTAAAATATTTTTCTTTTAAAAAAACTTACGTCTAGCAAATTAAGATTACTTCAATTATACTTAAAGATTAGAGACTTTTGTCAAGTATACAAGAAATGTTAGTCTATCATACAAACGTTATAAAATCTATTGAGCTACCTTTTATTACTTTTGTGGGGCTGACCTATTGAAAATTCTGTAATTGGGAGGAAATACGAAAAAAGTGCATTCAATCATCTTACTTTAAAAAAAAGGAGTAATTTTACAATATTGATTTTACTTTTATTTTAAAAAAAAAAGAAAGAAAAAACCTAATCTTAGTTATAAAAATTCTTCTCTCAACAAACAAGTTAGAAAAAATATGCATAAAATGTATTATATTTGAACAAAAAGTTTCAAAATTTAAATTAAAGCCAACAATTTAATAACAAGGTTCGTAAAAATACTGAGTAAAAAAAGAAAGTATGACGACGATTATGATAGGTAATTTATTTACACTGGTTTGACCGATGAGAGGTTCTTTTTCTGATGCTTTAGTTCCTGCTTTCTCATCATTATTCATTTTTGCTTCAATTCTACTTTATTTCTGTTGCAACATTAATGGGTGTGTACATCAAAATTAGGTAGGAATTATTTGACTCTTATTTGAAAATATACCTAACTTTTTGACCCAGATATTTGCAAAAGATTCGTCATCTTACATTGGACCATCCACAGAGGAGGGGGACTTCAGTTCCCGACGGCAATTTTGAAATGCAGTTATCGTTGGATGATCAGGCCATATCTGTATGTAAGTTTTGAACAAGAAACGCTCTCTAATACTTCAAAGAACTTCGAGGTTTAAGTTAATTAATTGAGTTACATTTTTATAGGAGCATTCTGAGACCTACACTTGGAAGAAAAAACCTTGGATAATTTTTATCATGATTGGGTTTCTTGAACCAACGACTTAGGTCTGTTTTAACTTACATTTACTTTGAAAATTTTGAGCGTTCTTATGCCAAAATTTTAGCGATTGACTCCTCTATACAATGATATCAATAACTCGGGTTCCAGTTCTTTCGCGCAAAAAACGTTTCCCCTGAGGACAGTCACAATTATGTACCCGAAAATAAATATTATTACTTTGATTTCTAACAAAGATAGTTTTGCATGAGATTTGCAATTCCTGAAAAAATTTCTCTCAGGTCAAAGTCAAGGATGAGATAAAAGTAAATCTGTTATTGACTGGGTACTCAAATCTGCAATACCAAACACTAAGACTGCAGACGAAGGAAAGTCAGATAATATTTAGCATTTTGTCATAATATAGAAAAAATTATGATTTTAAAAGAGGGATGAGCTTGTATCATGAATAATACAATTCATTAAATATTTCATAAAATTTAAGGACTATGCATCTATGAGTTAGAGTAATTACTTTTGCATGATTAGTTTAAAGAAAGGAAAAAGCATCGGTTGGATTACTTTCTGGCAAATTTTAAAACAAAAAGAAAAGATAAGTTGGGCTGTTAAACTGAACATTTACGACAGAAGAATTTAGAGATTGCACTCATTGATACAAGGGCCCTCTTATGTAGCGTCAAAAGAATGAAGTGCACAAAAAACCGGATAGGCCAGCGAGTGCCGTTGTTGTACTTAAGTTGTAAGTACATTTACCAACTTTTGCTGAAACTGTGATTTAATCAGATTTCCTTCATTTACATGAAACAGTTTGATCAATGAAATAAGTTTGTGCTGCTTGCTTTTTGAAACTTGAAGAACAGGAAATGAAACGCTGAATAAAGATTTTAAAAAAATCTGAGTCCGTATTACTGGGTTTCATAAAAAAAATAGCACCACTAATGAGCACAGGTGTAAAACTTTTGAAAAAAAAAAATTTAAATTGTAGTTGTTCGAATGTGAAAACTATTTTGAACTAGTTAACAAAGTAGAAAATGAAAATATTTATAAAAATAAAAATGATCCGATATTGCACGATAAAAATTGAAGATACAGAATATAAAATGATGGACCTTCAACTAAAAAATCTGTTCTTTGAGAAAGACGCTGAACTTTAGAACGTTAAGAGGGAAGAAAAAACGTACTATGGGATTTGAAAAAGGTTGAGTGAAAACTAAGATTTGGAGGTTCAAAATACTTCTTCAAATGGAAAACTAGAAGTGGAATTTAAAAGATACGGAGTTGAAATCTGAGATATTTGATAAATATTTGTTTTCTAGAAAGCAAGGAAAAATGAGGACTTGTCATTTCTGTATCTTGAGAGGGGAGCATGCAGTATAAATTTCGGCTGTGCGTCACTTCAGTTCAGCAATCTTTGAAAGAGGAAATATTTTTAGTTCTAAACTTTGAGGCCAAAGCAAGAATACATTCTTAATTTGTGAAGGCTAATATACAAATTGCTATGATTATTGATAGGTAAAACCTACAACTTTATTTGACTTCTTCCCCCTTTTCGAAAAAGCATACATTTTGATCCACTTTGACCAGCACTTCATTTTAACCCCATATGATGATAATTTTTACATCGAACAATATAAAGAGATTACAAAAATTTGAAAACAGCACAGACATTAAAAAAATCGATCATAGCGGTAGTTCTGAGAAAAACAGAGGGGTGTCTGACAATTAATCGATATTTGTCCTGAATTAAAAAATGGAATTTTGATGCAGTTTGATGCACTCAAGCCTGTCGAAATCATCAGTAGCATAGAATTAATGAGCATAGAATAATTGGGTGCCATTGATTTACTTGTGAAAGATCTCAGCGGTTTAATGCAATAGGACAAATAAAAAAATGATAACCGAGTAAAATATCGTGGGATATTGATCTTTTATATTTTATCTGATGGTAGGACACCCCTTGTTTGCTCAGCTAGGATACAAATGAGCATCAGGCGAAACAAGTCTAAATCTGTCAAGCATACAAAAGAAACAGTGCTGTTTTTTTTTTCAAGAGAAACACTTACAAAGAGAAATGTACCACAATTTTAACATAAAAAAAGAAACAGACCATTAATTAAAGTATGAATCATAATAAACGGCAAAGAACAGTGAGAAACACTCATAACAGAGACACGAAAATACCAAGAAGTATTAATGCAAAGTAATCATGCATAAAAATTGCTACACGTATTAGGGTTAGTGCATATATCTACCTCTAATAATAGTGGCGGTTTAACGCACAAGTTGTTTCATTGGAGAAATGGTAAGTTTGTCATCGTGCATAACATTTAATATCAAACCGAACATTCTTGTGGTGCAGAACAAAAGCTCATTTGAGCAAAATTTTCTAAGCAGCCGTTTGCTTACACACTTGTTACAGCATATCAGGACAAGACTGCAGAGATATTTTAGAGCTGCTAAAATTGCCTTGCGATGGTGCTAGTTATGGCTGTGTGGAAAAGGACTGTGCACACAGTGCCAATAAGTTTGGCACCAGCTAAATATTTATATTATTTGATACTATGTTTCTTCCGGCCTTCTGAGCAGGATGCAAATTGAAAATCCTGTATCAAATTTCCTAATGTTGTGAACATAATCCTTTGCTAACTGAAAGCGGATGTCACTTGCATTGGCTCAGCTACTAATCCACCTCTGCACAAAATCAAGAAGCTGACAGTAGGGCAAAATCTTTGCAAACACTCAAGTTTCTTACCCTCTAGTATGAGAATTTCACGTCAATTAATTTTATGCATGGTGACCGAAAAAACCACCTCTCTCGGACATAACTGCTTGTAATAAAATATCTTCCTTCAAATGACAAAACCTTGAAAGAACACAATTTCCAGAGGTCATTCTAAGGGAGAATGGACTTGCCTTCCTTGAAGCCGACTAGACTAAATATATAGAAAAAAAAACTTTAACAATTTGAACTTCTACCTGACAAAATAAGATTTAAACAATTTGAGCTGGACACTCCTTTCCAGAGTTTTACTTTAGATTTCTTGAAACTGAGCTGATAATTCTCACTGAATCTACCTGGTCGTAATTCCTCGGTGTAAAAGAAACTACTCAAAACTTTATCTGTCCATTCTTTTGTCACTGGCTTATTTTTTTCGATTCTTAGTTTAAATTACCAGATATTTGAGAGAAATAAAGGAATAATGTGAAAAACCCATTTTTCTGCAATAGCCTTAGTGCGATAAAGATGAGAGTTTGATTTTGATCGCATTTTAGCAAGGACAAAAAGAATCATTTAACGGTACAGTTCAAGTTATTTTCAACAGAATTTCTGAGAGAGAGGAAATTAACCAGGCAAAATTCTATGTTCAAATGTTTCACTCATCAGCTTGTTCTCAAATAAAAAAACAGACAAATTCTTCAACTACCCTTGAACAGAGATACTTCTCTTGAGTAAATAATAATGTGAAGGATAAATGACATATTTGTGCCACAGAGAAGAAGGATAAAACAAATTTGATTTGATTATACAGTAAGACCTCAATTTATTGGGTGGCATTCAACGGATCGACCTTCTGATCCCTTCAAGAGCTTTAAGCTAGCTTGAATTGACAGATTCAGTGGTTTAATGGCTCAATTTTTCAGTCTCGTAAAATCCGATAAATTGAGATCTCACTGTATTTCAAGATTGATTAAATTATTTCAGAGATTAGTGTTGGTATACTTGTAAATCGTTGCTTGGGAGGTCCTGAGCACAAGTTGTTATTCATTGCTCTCTCTAACATCATTAAAAGGAAAGCTGCAATGACAGAATGACTTTTGATAGTTTTCACTGACCTCAGCAAGAATAAGATAGAAAATTAGAGGATGAACAGTTTATGCACTGACAAATCTGAGAAGTACTGTAAATATTTACATGGATAGAGAAAAATGATAAAAAAGTTAACATTCTGAAAAATATGTGAAATGTTCTACGTGTAACACTAATACATTTAAAAAAGAAGAGGAAATAAAAACTACCAACTAAGTCATTTTGTAAAAAATAATAAATGTTATATATAATTCTTTGTTCTACAACAAATTATCAAAAAATAAATTAAAAATAAGGGTATAGAAAATGAGCGAAAAAATCATAGAGGTACAATTGGTTTTGAAACTAAATTTACAAGGGGGGAAATCATAATGGATAATTCACATGTGAGGGATGAAAAAAATAAATAACTAGAAATCGAAGTCTTTTACAACACTAAAGTATGTACAGGATGCTTAGCTAGAGAGTTTACAAAAAACTAAACGTAAACAAAAAATCGTACAGTGATTGAAAAATTGGTAGCTACAATTTGTTCGAGTAATGGCCATTCATCGGAGGAGGTGATAAAAGAAATGTACTGTTTGGAACCTTTACACGTGCAATTCTTTCCTTTTGCCGTCTAAGAAAATGATTCACTCGCAACAAAAATATTAATTCTTCCTAGACGCAAAGATAGAAAAAACGCAATGATGTCTCTGGATGTAGTTCAGACTTCTAATCACTTAACAGCATACCACATCCTGATCAAGCAAGGGGGTCTAAAGTAGCACAATCAAAAAACGAACAATTAGGACGCAGTCCTGACATTTAAAGTACAATTTTGACCTTACTTTGACAAGTTGGCCAGTGTTAAATCTACGTAGTCAATTTCTCTTCTCACCACCTCCTAGTTCAGGATATGCTTAAATGAGATCTTTCTGATTGAACGTGGACGTTCTCATTTTTAGGCTCCGCAATCTTACAAAGAAAGTGTTTTCATGATTTTGAATAGTGTTTACTTTTCAACAAAATTTTGAAGTAAATGCACAGCAGCTGGATTTTGATGATTCTGATAGCTTAACAAGTTGACTACTAAAGTGTAAATCATTCTGCTCCGAAACGCGCGGCCTTCTAAATTTGTAAGTGTTTAAGCAAATGCAGAGCAGAAGTACAGCGGAGCTACATGTGCTCTCAATTTTTCACAAGAAAGAGCCACTGATGCAAGTTTTATGCATAAGCAAATTCTATGACATTAGGGTGGAGTGCCCCAAAAATTCTGTGTCCTGACAGTGAAGCGATACTCGAAAAATATTGACCTTCAGGCCCAGCGCAGCAGTCAATGTGTCAGAATGGATCAATGACCCTCCATGTTTACAACCAATGCAACTCAAATTCTTCCCTTGATTTTGTACTCTACTAAAAGATAAATGATCATCTTAGAGGCAAACCAATTAATATGAATAAACAGTTTCAACCTCTGAGTAGTCTATTTTTGAGAGTAAGTGGTGCATTAGACACAGATATTTTCTTAATAGTCCGATACAGATAGTCTCTTAATAAACAGATAAAAAAAACCAGGAATGTCTCGAAAGATTTCAGATAAGATCATATTCTAAACAGTGAAACCATTGTTCAACAGTTGCTTTAGCTTCATTAGCATGATGCACTAGCAAACCAAACACTCCAACTGTTCTTAGATCGGCCTTTTCATTAACTAACCAATATCTAAGTCTAGGAATCTTCAAAAATTGATGGCGAAACTTCAAAAGTGAAAAAGCTTTTTCTTCAAAGGGAGAAATACCCACTTTGACGAAAAGCGAATGGCACCTGAATATTTATCATTGGGAAAAATGATACTTACATTTGAGCAAAAATCAACAGGATATTCTACATAAGTTTTACTGAGAGGAACATTGATATTGGCAAACTTCATTAAAAGGCGTCAGAAAAATCCTTACAATTTACGTCAGGGCAAAGAACATAGCCCGCGAGGTACGGAACTCGTTCGGTTTACTGGCGTAGTTACTTAGGGAAAGAAAGCATCCTTTAAATACTTCAAATTCCTCTTTTACTTTCGAAGTCATGGGTTTTAACTATAGCTACAGCAGATGAAAAGATGGAACACACTACTCAACTGACAAATTTTAGGGAATATTAAAAATAAGTGTCAGTAAATTGAGTTCGGAAAAACTTACGCCTTATTTGCAAAAAAGAAAAATCAATCATTTTCAGGTGAGCTTTGAAATTGGGAGGAAAGTAATTTTCAGGTCTAGAAATTCCTAATTTCGGAAGTAACGGGGATCTCTCTGATTCCCCAACTTTTACAATGTTTGAAGAGTGTAGAATGAATGGTGAAAAAACTATGATAGCAAACACTCCGTGGTAGGAAATCAGCGAATTCTTCCTCCGGCCTTTGAATTTGCTGCCTGGTGGTAGATAGCTGCCTACTAAAATTAAAGTAACAACGAGTTACTGACTGCTTAAGGACTTAATAATATGTAGTGACAAATAAGACTTCCTGAGCATGTGGCAGTATAATTGCTGCTGTCATTTCCCTGAGTGCGCTCTGCCATCAGGAATCATTTTGTTTCCTTATGTTTTCTGAATTAGGAATCCAGTTGGAACAAAATATAAAGATGGAACAAATCCACTTTTATAAAATTTACAGTTACTTATTTTCTGACTTACAAAAAACAAAAACAAAAAAAAAGAAAAACTTACACATTTTGGTTATTATTTACAATGATAAAAAAAAGAAAAGAAAAAACCTGAATTACAAAATACTTGTACACTAAGAATATTAAAAACTACTGGGACTCTAATAGCACAACTTTACGCTCAATTTGACTGCCTATGTACACTAAAAGGCTGAATGTCGACCGTTTCCAATAACAAAATATATTCCGCAGCCACACAGTGAAAAAAATAATTCTCACAAATTGTGTAGAACACTGTGAGATGCCATTAAACTGATGATTAAAGATAATTTTCCGCTAACAGCAAGCTTCAAGATTTTCAAATACTAGAATAATGAAATAGTTGGTTCAGAAATAACTTAGGTCATCTTGAATAGTCTGTATATTTTAAAAATTTTGTTAGTAAATTGGGAATCTACTTGTTTTCTATCGAAACTTGATTGCTGAGACCTGTAAATGCATACAAACGAAACAACTCCTAAAGAATGTTATTAAAGCATAGGTATGCTTTCCACCAAAATAGCACGCAAAATTTTTGAAAGAAAAAAAAAACATTTAACGGAGGGGATCAATGCGCAAGCGATGGGACTTGAAAAATATAACAGTATAAAAACTTGTCAAACATTCAAAAGTATAAAAATATGCACTTAAAAAAATCACAATTTTGCCTAAGGCATCCATAGAAAAATTAATTTGATGTGCACAATGCTTGAAGCTATCTCTGGGCACTTGAACTGATGGTTCAGGGTTTTCCAAGTTAATTTTTGATTTCTTATATCAGCACCAGGAGAAAACAAAGAAAAAAATGATGATATAAATTTGGAAAATATTGAAGAATCCCTCTAATAGGCTCATTTAATTAAATATGAATGATTTTAAATAGACAAAACGCCTAGATTGATAACAATGAGTCACATAACAAGAATTTTAATTAACATTAAAATAAAATTTTAAAAAAGGGAAAAAGCACGTAATTTGGAATATAAATGCACATAGAGGCAGCTACGTACTTAATTTTTCACTGGACTGCATAGTGCCATATTCTGCCATGCTAAAGAAAAACCCCGAAGGAACAATCAAAAGTTACCAATATTCCTTAAATAAATGTTTTTTTTTTTTTTTTTTAAGCAGAGTTGGAAATATTTTCTCTTGGAATTTTCGGGTAATTTAGATCAGGTTGCAAAAAAATTTCTCTGAAAACTTGGAGGAAAAATATTCACAAATATCCCTGAAAATTTAAATTTTAACGGAAGATATTTGGCAACATCTGAGGGTTCATAAGGCGTTCTTCCTTAGCAAGACAGCTTTTCCTTTCATTAATTGTTAGTACATTATCAAACATGTATAAACGTAGAAAGCTCTAAAGGTTTTCTTTACTGGTAGCTTCAATACTACATCTCTCTGTAAAAAAATTTCGATAATCCAATACCGATTGACAGATTTAGTTCCTAATATGTTGAATAGTTGTACTATTAAAGCCCTTGTTTACCCGCTAGTAAACATCTTGACTGCGATACACGAATAAATTAGGGGAGGCGAAATTGATAAGGTAGGAAACAGGAATCTTACAATTAAAAGTATACTGTACACCTTACCTGAGTTATCAGGACAGCCTGTGAAATAAAAAAGAGTTTAAAAAAACTTAAGAGGAGAGACTACGTCTGAAAGATGATGATGTCTTTTCAATAATTTACACTGTAGTAGGAAATGACTAGTAATGCGCAGCTGAGCCTCGTTACGCTTTGAGATCTTCTATGGCACTGAGGTTCGCCAGCGTTTTCTTTATTCGGAGCGCCGTCAAGCGTGCTGCAGCGAGAGGATACCAACACTCCTTCATCACTTTCGACATGACTTGCAATGCCTGAAATATGATCAGATTATTGTAACTAAATTAAGGATGTAAAATGGTAAATTTTATGCACTAAGCGGTTACAGGACGATTCGTCTACTGTATTACATCCAATATTTTGGCGCAAGAATTTGGCTGAAATGGTCAGAGCAAAATTGTACATTTTCCGCTATCCAGCTGGTAACTGCTCTGCCCTGCAATATTAAGAAATAGCTTTGCATTGGAAATATAGCTTCCTTCTTTAAGTTCTTAAGGAATTTTCTGCTATCTAAGGCATTTCATAACCTATCTGAATTTTTGCTTGGTAAATGCGATATCTGCAATGAACATACTTGATAGGATGCTATTGTATTAATTTTTTCGGAACTAATTGTAAGGCATAAGGGGGACTCTCAGCACGTACCATGCCCCAATTACTGATCTCTCTTGTGAAAATAATCATAAATAAAATGCATGAATAAAATATTGAAAATCGGTGCATGGTTGATGTGGCTGATGAAATTTGACCAAATTTTTTTGTACAAACAAATATCTGAGTTTTTTGGACCAATCATTTAATTTAATCAGATAGCCAAGTGATAGGTTGACAAAATTTCTCTGTAAGAAAGTGGAAGATGAAATTTCACAAATTTCTAATGCTCCATGAAATTTCAAAGAAAAAAGTTCACAAATTTCAAATGTTCCATGAAATTTTAAAGATGAAGGTTCATAAATTGAAAGTTTTGTGAAATTTTACATCTCTGGCTGTAAAGTAAAGCGTGGGGTTCGATTGGTAACACTCGGTTTTAATGCAGATAAAAGATGGTAGAGTGCAATTGTATACAATGTTGTATTACATCAATTACTGATTTGGGCTAATAAAGGTCACTGGCCTGACGGCCACTGTCCAGGGCATGGAGAATCTGAAAACCTAGTAGGAGCAATAACAGCCTACACGCACATAGGCTTTTATTAGTGGGGTTATTATCATTTGAATTTTTAAATGAAAACAGTTGTGCGGATTTTTGTGCAAACTTCAGTAAATTATCTACATAGTACAAAGCAAATTCTTCTAAATTTTCAAAGGGATCCGCACCAACGTTCCTTTGTAAAAAATGAAATTGCCATGTTAAATTCGGCAACAGCTGATGTGGCTTGGTTCCTTTCTGCTAAATGCAGTCCGATTAGCATTAGTTAAACAGCAAAAAAATTATTGAAATCATTTGCATGATCTTACTTCAGCTTGATTGGTGTTAAAAATATTTGTTAAAATATTGTTACGGAGTTGGTTTTCGAACTCCCATTGTACGAATAATTTTTTACGTACAATTTTAAGAAGGACACATGTGATGTTTCCTTCTAGCTTAGACCTAGTCTAGTCGCCCATTAATCAGAAACAAGCAAAGGATGATGAAAGTTCACTAACCGGGCACGACTGCCATCTGTTGGGTATTGACGGGCGTTGTTTGTCAATGCAGACCACTCTCCTCATCTCATCGATTGTGGGGTCTGAAGGAACAAGATCAAAGAAGGGCAACTGATATTCATCGTATATCCCGCCCACATTGCACCTTCGGGCGATCTCCCAGAATATAAGGCCTAAAGCATACACATCACCCCTCTTGAACGAATCGAAATGATTCATGTTCATTGAATCCTCCAGGACCTGAAACAGACAAGGAGAATTTAAATACAGATTTTTAAAATAAATACGATTTTTTTTTCTTTCCTGAACGGTAACACTCACACTCATATGCTTAAAAAATCAGAACAAAAACAGTGATCGGGACTCAAATGCCTGTGATTTTCTATGTGTCTATATATGAGGACTTATCTGTAACAATAGCAGATGTCGAGTTTTCACGTTGTGAGAAAATTGCGTTTGAAGTTTTTGAAGCTTTGCACTTTTCCGCCCATAGAACCGAGAGGATTCTTATGAAGATTTTCATGAGGGGCAACTCTTCCAGTAAAAAAACACACGTTTTACGATATAAGTAAGTGAAAAATTGAAGGAGTAACAGCGATTTGAAAAAAATGTGACATCCACTATTTTTGCTGCAAACACTTTTTTATGCATGAAACGAAGTTTTCAGGAAGGGTAAGGCTGGTGAAACGATTGAAATGAACCAAAAGAAAGTCAATGCTGAGTCATTTCACAAAATTGAACAAGAAACTAAACCGTTTGTAACTTTTAGGACAAAAACAAGGAAGAAATTATAAAATCAGTTAAAAATTCAACAATTCTGGCGAGACGGTCCCGATACGTATAATTTGAGTGTCAGCTACAGCCCATGGCCGGTGGGTGGGCAGTTATTGCAAGTGGGTTCTAATCTCCACAGTGTACTGCCGCACCGTCCGGGAAAAACAGTGGATTCCCACATCTGCTGTTTTTACAAATAACATGTTTTTCAGTTCATATCTCGCCGAAAAATTGTGCTGGAAGTCTGAAACTTTGTACAGGCATTCTTGGAGGCTCTAGATTTCGAAAAAAGCGTTTGCCCTAAAAATGGCAGATGTCAGCAACTCCATTGTTACATTTATGTCCTCATATATTGTTATAACACTACATAGTGTTCTATGTCTGACTATTACAATAGCCCCTCTTGGTGGCTTTCTGTAAGCTTTGTAAAGAAAAATAAAAAAATTAAAAATATTACAGAATTTGTCATCCCCTGCAAGAGGGAACGTACCTAAATTGCGCTATTTCATTATGATAATAATATTCATACCTATAAATATAATATATCAATACTCAGAAAAAAGTTGAGCATGAAATCTAAAAAGTTTGACCTTCAGGCTAGTAGCTCCGAAAAACTGGGGCTGAACCCAGAGCACTGGATGACATCCACTTGCTGTCAGCTGACAGCAGTCAAACTCAGAACAGAATACAGATGTCAATTTGACAAAATATCTCAGTGTTGGGCCTAGGAGCCTTTCGTAGCGTGTAAAAATATAAACCACAGCAGAGTGCTGGCTTTCGCAAAGGAAGAGAGAAACTTGAAGCTTACCTCTGGAGCCATGTATCTCTTTGTACCCACTCTGTTGTTAAGAGGAATATCTACTGTGTCAGTTGTAACATCATGCCTAACAGCAAGACCTAAGTCTCCGATAGCACAAGTGCCATTTGATTTGACGAGGATATTTTTCGATTTCAAATCTCTGTGAGCAATGGCAGGTTTTCCTGTAAGAAACAAAACGCAAAAAAATATGTTGAACGAAGGAAAAAGAGAATCTGGTATAAGGCAAGCCTAATAACTACTATGGATTATTGTTATAACTTAGGGTATTAATTCATCAACCTTGCACTGAAACTCAGGGGTACAAATTGTTCTAGACTTACGCGATTTCCGAGGAGGCCACTGTACTTTCATGCAACATGCTGGATTTTTGCAGAGAGGTCAACACAACAGGCTAATCAAAATTTTGATAAATATTTGGGTTATTTTTTGGACGTATGTCAAAGTTAAATTATTCAACAATAGTTTTAAATCTGAAAACCTTTGAACAAAAAAAAAAAAAAAAAAAAAAACTCATCCTCCACAATTTTAAGGGCACTTCCACGATTTGAGCAAACAGAACAATTTGCATCCCTGCTGAAATTTTCCTAGTTGTGTACTTTTTAATAAGACAGATTTGATTGGTTATCGTCATCATCTTTTGAGAGGCCTATGTCCCATTTTTACCTTGAAGGTGTCATGAACTGATTGAATTGCCTTAATATTTGATGAACCACTAGACAAGAAGCAAATTTAGGCATTACAATGTACGGTAAAACCTCAATTTTTTGTAACCGATGCTAAAAAAAAACGTTGATATCTTGGCAAAAAGTTGATTTTAGAGGGTTTCGTGGTGCCAATCACATTCTACATGAAATTTTGAAGCGCAAACCTGGGTCAGAATGCTTAGATTTGTACCTTGTCCAGTAATCAAATAAAACTTCAACAATACCCTTTCAATTCTAGCACCTTTGAACAGCAGACTTGAGACATGAAAGCTCATGCCAATGTGCATTTACTACTGAACTACTGGAAACTAATTTTAAAATGTTAGGCACAACTTGCCTCAGAATTAAAAGAGACACCACAAAAAAGTACGGAGAAAAATTAGAAAGAACATCTAGACAATAAACACATACCTTGAGTGCCAACGATTTCCATGTGCAAGTGAGCTAAACCTGTTGCGATAGACAGGGCCATACGAATCATGCCTGGAATATCCACTGTATGGCGATTCAAGAAGTCAAAGAGGGAACCATTTTCATGATAGTCAGTGACCAGCCACAACTGAGTCCATGTTCCATTATCTGTAGATGAGAAAAGCTTAATGAGTGAGGACTATGTGATAATGGGACATGCTGAAACTACAGTAACACTAGAAAAACTACACTTCCCTGTCTGATTTTAATTGCTTTCGATGCAGAACCATAAATCATAGAAACAGGAGACACCTCTCATTTCTATCGTGACCTCTTTGGCAATAGCTGTTCGTTTCTTCAACATCAAATTATTTCTGGGAGTGTTTTTCATTTTTGAAGAGGTCCCCTGAACGACAAAAACTCTGCTAGCTTTTTTACCTTCAATTTTAGTGAGAGTAAAGACTTACTTTTGCTTCAATCATAATAATCTCAGGGTTATGTACCAGCTTGTCCTGTTGATCTTTCACACGCTATTCTATGTGAATATCTTTTCTAATTAGTATTAACGTAATGGAGAAAGGCAACAACTCAGGATAAGTGAACCAGTCAACTCACTTCAGACATAAACAAGTAGACGAACAAAGCATGATCATTCAAAAAGGTTCTTTCTGAAATAAACAAATTTCAATCCATCTTCAGGAAATAACCATCTTCCCTAAAGCCTGTGTTCGAATATTACTGAGAAATTCGCAGGCCAATTTTGCAAGCTTGGTCGATATCAAGGGGCCATTAGAGTTCTTTAAGGGTCAAATTGATTATTTTTAAAAAAGTTCATGATGAATACGGGATGGCTTCTGGCACTTAGGAATCTGACTTTCTCTAACTGCTTATGTCACAGCTTTTTTTTACGAAATAGAATTCCTTTCAAGGGATCCTCGGTAGCTTCGTACGTATCAAAATAGTTTGTCTAAGTTTCAGCGTTTTTGAAGCCAGCTAACCGCAAATATTTAAATGCCATCTTTTGCTTTGCCTTTAATTAATTAGACACCAATTAGGAATATTCAGGCCCATTTTGCGCATTGTGCCTGTCAGCTTTGAACGATACTCAAAACTCTGAATGTAGATACTTTTGCTTCCTTTCTTTTTTTCTCTTGTTCTTCATATTTTATGAATTAGAGCGTGTTAATTTTAAAGCAAACATTATCGCAAAAGCCACTTTCTTCCTCAGTTGACAGAAACTGAAACCATTTCCACTCAAATAGAGCGAGCTGCTCTGGAATATAAGCTTTGTATCTAAAAATTTCAGTGTCATTTTAGTTAAGTCTAATACACATTACATTTTAAAAATCCTAAACAGCGTTTAAACAGCTATTTATTTGAATATGAAGTTAGAACTAATGTTAAGGGAATTATGCACTACAGATGATGCAAAATACCTTTATTATCAGCTGCGATGAAACCAAGAATGTTATCATGCCTCAGCATGACAGTTTGGTAGATTTCAGCCTCTCTGAACCATGATCGTTCCTCGCGAGATGAGAATATCTTCACAGCAACATTTTCACCTCTCCAACGACCCCTCCAAACTTCACCAAACCTTCCTTTTCCAATGGTTTCGTCCAGAGTGATTTGCCTGGCAATGCTTCGTTGGACAAGCAGTGGAAGTCCTGCAATTGAGCGAACAAAAATTCATGTATAAGTGAGATTCAAGGTTAGGCTGACATGAAATTTAGACACTCAAGTCTACCTAAGAAGTCATAACAAGAATTATAGTGATGGACCACAAGATGGAGTACGAAATCAAGAACTTCACTGTACGTTGCCTGCGTGAAATTTCACACAGAATATGATGGATGCATTCAACCTTTCCTGCTTCAACTCATAAGTTAGAAAATAACGGACCTTGTCTACATTAATCCACACTTCCCGTTCACAGAAAAACCGGAGTCTGTTCAAGTCAAATCAAGCCCTAAAATAATTTAGGTATATTTTACAATGGAAAAATTTTCATGTGTACTAATTCTTTCTTTTTTTTTACAAAATCAAGGAAGAAACTCTCCCAATAAATTCGTTTTTTATCGATGGAAATATGGAGACGCCTGAAGGCTCATACAGTGTTTTTCCTTAGCTTAGCAGACTACCACCACACGCTTTCATTCATTATTTCGCTCCAACTGCAATGTGTCCTATATTGGGCAAACTAAACAACTTCTGCGCAAGCGAGTGTTGCAACATAGGAATGACGGCTGAGAGTTAACAGCTCTCAAACATCATCAAAGAGAGCTCGGTCACCAGTTCCATTTAAACCAAGTTGAAATTTTATGTAGGGAAGGAAAGCCATTTTCTAGATTGGTGCGGGAAATGACAGGGATTTGAAGCATGGTGAATCTTTATGTAATTCCCGCACAGACGTGAGCTGACTCAGTGTTTTCTACCCCCAGTTCTTCCGAAACCAGGAGAAGCGCAGCCTATTTTGTGTCGCAATCTATTGGCTGAAACTTTAAGCGCTGGATTGGTTTCATCGATGCCCGTTTGCGGTGTTTTTTGTTGACTGTTTTATCAAAATTTCTGTTATAACAACATTCTTGCTTTGAAAGGTACCGGCAGATACTATTTCAGATTTTTTACCATTTTTCTTTTCATTTATCCAACCAAGGATGGCTGAATTTTTCAGCAGAAACGCTTTGGTTTTGTTTGTAAAATTTTAGCCTTGTTACCCGCTTTTTAAAATGCTTTTTATGGTTTATCCTGTCTCGAGCTGCGGAGCGTCTATCGTATCTCCTATAATATATCTTTATGATTTGTTAGGATTGATAATGATTTTTTGAGGAACTCACCAGAGCCAGACCCACTGGTCGTCATATCGATCATGTGCCGTAGAGAATAAGCCCCCAGGATGGGCTGTCCATCCTGAGCGTCACCATTCTCTGGACAGTGATAGTGGAGTGTCCGCCGCCGCTGAAGGTGTGAAAAGCCCATCACTACAGCACAGCAAATCATTGCGATCGGACACGCTATCATCAATGCAAGTTCCCATGCATTCAGGTTGCTTATCACACCAGGGAACCACGGTGGCTCTGTAAAAGATAGCAAGGGTTATAGAACCAATGATGGTGCAAAATTTAGGCAGTCTGTATTCCTACTAAAATGAGATCTTTGGCTAAGATAAGAAACCATTCGTGAGGGTATAATTTATGACTGATACTGATCTACGCATGTATGAAAGAGGCCAACCTCAGAAATTGAGATATGAGTAAATTGTGGTAAGTAAAATGGAATGGTTTCAAAAAGTATATTCTTCTTTAACTAACTGACAAGTACAGTTTACTTACGTCAGTTTTGAAATGTTTATGTTGAACCAACTTCTATTAATAGAATGCATGATATTAGTTCATAATGAAGATAATTTACTTTTTCAAGTTGATTTATCATGACCTTTTCTAGTGATACGTAAAATAAATTAGACTGGTTAAAATATTTCTTAAAAGTTGTTTTAGGCGTACAAGATAAGCCTTGAAATTTTACAAGTGAAATGACCGCCAGCAATTGATATTTTTTCAAATTGATTCTTGGGTCATTCGATGGCTGAAGTCAAAAAATGCGTACCTCCGATAGAGACATTGTACGTTTTGCCTCATGTTTTATTCTTTTTTTGAGAATATTTGTCATAAGTCTATTGAAATGGTCTGTGGATTCTTTTCGTTTCTTCTAAAAATAATTCACAAAGAATTGTGAGGAAACATTTTGATTTGATCTTCTTGAAGAACATTAAACTTAATCAGAGATGTCCAAACGTTGGAATTGAGATACGCTTTTTTTGCATTGAGCCATCTAAGTAAAATAGAGAGGAAATTTTCCAAAGGTTCCTGGGTTCATTAAACTATGTTTCAAAAAGCAAAAAAGTATTTCGGTGGTTTACTTCCAAACTTCCCATGTTGTTAAATGTTTTCTAGAAAAGCTTTTGAAGAAAACACATGTGACGGTATTTCAAGTCTAGATCTTGCCTTGTGGCTTAGTTTGAATGACAACTTCATTAAAATATATCTCTTTTTCATAGAAAAATAAATTTGAAAAGCTGAGAAATTAAATAAGTAAATTCATTTTTGTAAATTCATGCTGCAACCAATTAAAGGTTAAAAAAGACTAAGATGGGGATTTTCGTTAGTGTAAGAATGCATGCTATATTAGAAAGGATCTGGAATCATTGTGCAAAGAGTTCAAAGACATCAGACAGTGATGTGAAATTGATAGGATGGTCAATCATTGAATCAAAAGCGGAAGCATGCAAGCATTTTTGAAGAGAACCACTGAAAAGATACAAATAATGCGATCTACAGAAAAAAAAAAAAACAAATTCTCACAGAAAATGTTTACATTACATGCATTGAACTCACCAATTTTCCTGGATACTCGGTGAAGCGAGCATTGAAAACTTACATTCTAAAATGACAGAATATACCTTGTTCAGAGCCAATCAAATAGTCGACAGTGTATAAAAAATTGCAAAAAAGAAAAGTAGTATAAATTCCAAATTTCATGTTGAAAAAACTACATACATAGATAAAACAGAAGTTCCCTCTCAGGATTGGAAATTTTGTTAATAGCAGTAGTTTGATTAGTTTCAGTGATGTCAGATCATCCCTTTTGTAAAATAATTTCTTGAAATTAATATTAATAATTAAGAAAAAGTTATCTCTGACTAATTAGGTCATGCTATAACGGTCTTGCCAAGATACCAATAGGTCACGCAAGTTGAGAAAAAAACACTGACGGCTGGTGTAAACTGATTAGAGGAAGAAAAAAAGAAATGCAACTGAAGTTTCCACTGGCGGTATTGACAAGATTAATTGTTTTCGATTTTTTAATAGTACGGGTATTGAAAGATTTTTCCATTCTCTGATCTTGTGCTATTCTAGTCTTCATGGAAATTTTAGCTGGGATAGCTCTGGGATGCTGCTATTGCTGACTGCGTCTTGACTTTAACTGACACAAGCTTGGGACAAATGACTAAAGCACAGCAAAAAGAGAGAAAAAACATCGAGTGCTGCAGGACCAATGAGACTGGCACAACTATGTTTTCAGAGGAAGGGTTCGCTATTGTGCTAAGGAAAAAAGCCATGTGAAAATTCAAGAGTTGCCGAATTTTCTCCGATAATACGTTTCTGTTGGAAGAGTGGAATGAATACTTCCTCTTGAAATTTTCAGAAAATTTACACCTGATCACGAGAAAAATTCTCCGAAAAATTTGTAGGAAAATATTCACAAATTGTCCTGGAAATTCATATTTTATTGGAGGAAATTTGGCAACGTCTGAAGGCTTATAAGGCGTTTTTTCATAGCACGGCATTGTGAATGAATGTAAGGACAACAGAGGAAATTGGTAAATATTTGTCTACCTACATGCTTGAACTCTCATTTGGTGAATGATTTGCTTGAAAACTGTTTCTGATGCACTGAATCAAAAGGACATTGAAAAGACTTGAGAAAAAAATTAAATCTCAGTAATGACCAACGATAGTAAAGGAGGGGGATTGATAAGGGACGTTTTTGGGCCGATTTTTTGCTCGTCAAAGGTCTATGTTTGACGGAATGCATCGTGATTTGGGCATTTCCAAAGATCTTTTATCAAGTCTTTTTGACAAGGGCTCTACAATTAGTTGGAGAAGCACTTTGGGTTTCGTGGAAAGTTTTTACCCGGGGGGTAATGATTCCCTATAATATACCTACTTGATGCGGTGTCACATCGAAACCATGCTTTTGAGATGCTTCATACAGATTGCAGTTATTACTTTAAAAAATTCCCCTGGAAGGTCTAAAACATGCCATCGATGTTAAAAGGGACTTTTGAAACATTCTTTGGAAACATTTCAGAGGACAATTTCATGTATAGCACTGATAAACAAGGAAAACAGGTAACAGTTAGTCGTCTTCCTGACATAAGGGCTTAACGACACGCTTCAGTGAACCCTTACGGCCATAAAATTCAACGCTTTTCCAGGCTCATCTCTAAGTGTAATTTACGCCCTTTCGTCGACCAGGCGACGAATTACGACTCAAGAAAGCGAATCGAATCTCTGTTTTCTTTACCCTTTAATTTGATGCTTCGACTCTGAATCTCGTATACGATGTGGTTCGAAGGAGAACATGGTAGACATTTAGATTTTTTTTTTTAACCCCCTCCACTGTTTCCACTCGTGTTGTAAGGAACTGAGAAAAAACGTGTAAAATTATGTCCATACTCTCCCTACATAGGCACTAAGTTATGATCCGACGAAATGACGATGACAATGGGACAGTTACAATGTGAAATAAACCAGAATTATTTCGAAAATGAGATTACGATGATGCATGGAGTTGTTACTTGGTTCAGAAACTAACTTCCTCCGGAGGGACCGGCGTGAGTCTCTTGAAAGCTTTTGAACTAGCGTCCCTTTATACTGAGAGTAAAGACAATGGGAATCCATTTCTGATTGGTTCCCGTATTTTAGGCCTTCACAGTGTCACAAACGGGAATGAAGATTACATTGTCAGGGTGACATGAAACGTAAGGAAGAAATGAAAGATTGGAAATCTCAGTGAAATATTTCATAAAATTTCACAAGGCTGTAAAATATTTCATAAAGCTGTGAAATATTCCATATTTTGAAAAGGCTAGAATATGCAACCCGCACTCTAACACGCAAAAATAGGGGAAAGTCACAATTTTCTCATTTTGCGAAACATGAAAAGGAACCGGTATTTTTTAATATCTTTCATAAATTTCTGAAATTTCATGAAATATTTCACGTGAAATTTCAAGATTTTATTTTTCATGACATTTTGCCACCCTGTTCCAATTAATGACAATTTGCAGGGTGGCAAAATTTCATGAAAAATAAAATCTTGAAATTTCACGTGAAATATTTCATGAAATTTCAGAAATTAAGGAAAGATATTGAAAAATACCAGTTCCTTTTCATGTTCCTTCTGCAAAATCAAAAAATTGTGACTTTCTTAGAGTTTCGTGTGTTTGAGTGCAGGTTGCATACTCTAGCCCCTGAAAAATATGAAACATTTCGCAGCCTCGTGAAATTTCCTGAAATATTTCACTGAAATTTCCAATCTTTCATTTCTTTCTTATGCGCTGGTTACACGCTCAAATTCCCATCAATTTCCGATCAAATGGTGACTGGTGCGCACCATCTACCATCAAATTTCTGCGGCCTGCAAAAATTTGATGGTAGATGATGGAGCTGTGGGGCTCAACCATCATCTGATTTCCACACAACCGTGCTTATTTCATGCTTATTTCAATCAACACGCTGTTTTAATTAATTTTACTCATCGATCTAGAGAACTATCGACCGCCATCTTGATCATCATTTTGATCGGAATTTGATCGTGTAACCAGGCCATTACGTTTCATGCCACCCTGACCGCGTTGTCTCAACAAGGTACTCCAGTCTCAACTCTCTCTAGGAAGGGACTCTAGTTTGAACTAGTCTGACAATCGCTTGGAAGCTGAGCATGGCGAGCCCCGGATGAGGAAAACCCACATGGAAGAGTGCCTGGTTCTTACCTGCGAAACCTGTGATATTTACACTTGGATTCAGGTTGTGATTGCAATAGGGGTAATCCTCGCAACATAGGATCGCGTAGTCCCTATTCCCCTCGTTGGACTCCGGTCGACACACGAGGGGGTTCTCCGGGGGAAAGACATGCGATTTATTGTAGCACCTACATCAAAGTGGCTTATCATTCGTGAGGTCAAAGAAATACTACCAGCAGAAAGAAGGATTAACACAACATACAACGGTCTATTTACAGAGGTATTCTACCTTCCTGAATCGGGTATCGCAGGAAACCTGGGATATTCTATTCAGAGTTCTATGAGCGAATTTTATTTAAAGTTCCGGATCTCCACACGGAGAAAAAAAACCTCGTGCGTGGGACCCGAAGTTTAGGTCATATGGATCTCTGAAGTTTCCAGATTGAGCATCTGAACACTTTAGGTCTAGCTGTCGAGGTTCGGATCACACATCTGAAACTTCAGTTCTTACATCTGAAGTACTTCAGATGTGATAACCGAAGTGCTTCAGATGTGACAACCGAAGTTTTTCGGATGTGAAAACGGAAGTACTTCAGATGCATGAACTGAAGTTTCAGATGTGTGATCCAAACCTCAGCAGCTGGACCTTAAGGGTTCGGATGCTCAATCCGAAAACTTTAGAGATCCATACGACCTAAACTTCGGATCCCACGCACGAAGTTGTTTTCTCCGTGTACGAGCGGATTTTATTTAAAGTTCCGAACCTCCACCGAAAAGAAAACTTGTGAGCGAATTTTATTTTAAGTTCCGAACTTTTCCATTGAAGAAAAAAAAGTTACGGGCTACATAGATACCGTCCGTTCCGGGTTCAGAGGCCGAAACTTCCGGGTGCTGGAGCCGTAGCTTCGATTGCTCCAGGTGCACGCCCCGGAACTTTCGGCCTTAGAAACCGGAACCCGGACGGCATGTCTGTATGGCCCGTAAGTACGGCTTCCACGGCCGGAGTTTTTTTTTTCAGTGTCTTTGGGAAGTCAGGGTGTCTACCAGTTATGAAAAACCAAACTTGGGGACTTTCGGGGACTTTTAGGGGTGGTTTTTTTTTTTTAAAGAAATCGGGGACTTTTTCCCCCAAAATAGTAAGAGAGGGAGTTAGTTGGAGCGTTAAAAGGCGTATTTTATACGACTAATTTTTTAAGTCATGTTGAACCGATAAAAACATACGAACAACCAAGTAACACTTCAGTTTTTTTATTCCTGGTTATATACCGCGCAGCCGAAAATTTGACAATGCCGGTGTATAGGACGATTTTTGTCATTTTTGGGGACCTGAACAAGAAAATTGGGGACTTTTGGGGATATCGGGGATACCCTTCCAAAATCGGGGATAATCGGGGACATTGGGGACTTATGGGGACCGGTAGACACGCTGGAAGTTCTGTCCGATTTTGTCTCATTAACCATATTAGGACCACCTCGCGAGGCGGTACCAAAATTACGCACCAAAAATGCGATTCATAAGTCATCAAATCGGAAGTACCGAACTCAAAATAAAATGACAGCCGAGAGGTTCGAGCGCAAAGTAGTATCGAACTTCTAAATAAAATTCGCTTGATCCATTCCTACTTAGCATCCCTGGCCATGTGAGAAATTTTGTGAGAGTGTGTTATAGTAAAAGCTACGGAGGGTACAAGGACCGGGCTAAGAGTAACGCGTGAAAGTGTGAATTTTCGCTTTTCAGCACAGTACAGTTCCACCCAAGGAACTCTGTAATGTGAGACTTCATAATCCACAGAATTGAAATACGACATTTTTGGCCGCGAAGAATAACTCTTATAAACTTTGATACCCCTGCAACCCCCTCGCTTATGTATACGTTTGTCGGGTTGCATCCCTTATCACCCTTATTCCGTATATTGGCATACAATAAATAATTTTCCCTTCATTTAAAATGTGATTCTGTGAATTTGTTTCATTCGATCAAACATGCCCAGAAATTCAACTGAGAATGCCATACCCCAAACAAAAAGTAAAAAAAAAAAAAAAAAATGAATTATTTCAGGTCCTCCCTATACGATCCCGTAGGCTCTCTGGAAAATCTTAAACAGTGGCCAGGTATGGTCAGTTGGTATTGGTTCTTCACTACCAAATCACACACGGTCAATGCACCACGTGTCTGCAATTTGGATAACTGACTGAACGATAAAGAGCTTGATGCAAAAACGGCTTTTTTCGCCCCCCTCTGGAATTTCTTCAAACTTTGTCTATTGATTACTCATACTTGAGCGCTTCTTCTCCCAAATTTTCAGACCCCCAAAAAATTTTGGGGGGGAGCTAGGGGGGGCGGAAGTCAAAACCTGTGAACCTCGATATCTCTCGAACGAAGAAAGATATCGAGGTCCGGTTTGGACGAAAAATCGTCTAAAATTGCATACTTTAAGATTCTAAAGGTCAAAATCCCGATATCACATTTTTCAGTCAACATATGTGCTTTTTTCCAGTTTTTGGGTCTGAAAAATTTCTTTTCAACGAAAATTTTACAAAGATCTCAATTTTTTATTTGAACCAAAACCAGTTTTTTAAATTATTCGTCTTTTTCCGCATCCAACGAGTGGTCGTATAAGCTGGGGAACCGAACGGTTCCGGAGTTATGATCGATTGAAGTTTCCGCTCAACGCGCGCCGACCGATTTTCGCGCGCAAAAAAGTAGGATTTCACTGTTATTAAATCAGATTGAATGTTCAAACTGAGCAAAATGCAATATTAGGGACTCTTGAGGGTCGCTGAGTTCAGAAATCATAGATACTTCCAAAAAATTCACGTTTTTAAAATTACAGCTCCGTACAGGACCACTGAGCGGCCGGTCGGCGCTCAGTGGGCCTCTAAAATAGCGCTACGGAGCTGTAATTTTAAAAACGTGAATTTTTTGGAAGCATCTATGATTTCTGAACTCAGCGACCCTCAAGAGTCCCTAATATTGCATTTTGCTCAGTTTGAACATTCAATCTGATTTAATAACAGTGAAATCCTACTTTTTTGCGCGCGAAAATCGGTCGGCGCGCGTTGAGCGGAAACTTCAACCGATCATAACTCCGGAACCGTTCGGTTCCCCAGCTTATACGACCACTCGTTGGATGCGGAAAAAGACGAATAATTTAAAAAACTGGTTTTGGTTCAAATAAAAAATTGAGATCTTTGTAAAATTTTCGTTGAAAAGAAATTTTTCAGACCCAAAAACTGGAAAAAAGCACATATGTTGACTGAAAAATGTGATATCGGGATTTTGACCTTTAGAATCTTAAAGTATGCAATTTTAGACGATTTTTCGTCCAAACCGGACCTCGATATCTTTCTTCGTTCGAGAGATATCGAGGTTCACAGGTTTTGACTTCCGCCCCCCCTAGCTCCCCCCCAAAATTTTTTGGGGGTCTGCAAATTTGGGAGAAGAAGCGCTCAAGTATGAGTAATCAATAGACAAAGTCTGAAGAAATTCCAGAGGGGGGCGAAAAAAGCTGTTTTTGCATCAAGCTCTTTTGCAAGGCTAGTCAAGTTAGAGTTTGTCATCACATTTGATGATTAAAGGGACAAGATTAGCTGTGATTTAGGAAGATAAAATATGAAAGTGCAAGATGCTAAATGTTAAAACACGGGAGAAACAGCTAAAATATAAACTACTTGAATACGGATGTGTATCCCGATGACATAAGATTCATGGTAATAGCTCGGGTGAACACAATCTTTCTTCTGAAAAAACTAACTTTGAAGTTTTCTCTTGTTTCAACGATAAATATTTACTTCCGCGACCACTGTTATTTTGTAGGAAACAGAAGTAAGAATACGAGGATGCGAATTACAGAAAGGTAAGTTTGGATTGGCTAACTAAAGATTTCAACCTTGAATACTTAGTGTATTTCCTTCGGAAAATACACTCATATTTACAAAATACACGAGAGCGAGCATAAATTACGTCTTTATCGGCCAATCACCATCCAGTCTGCGGTAGCCAATTGGGGGTGAGCTTAAGGCGCACTGCTCCCACTGGGTGGTGATTGGCTACCGCAACATTACTGATCAAATGAAAAATGTTGACCAAAATCACAAAGTATCTTGTGATTAGGGCTATAGAGTTCGAAGATCAGAAATTTTAAAAAAATAGAAAAAGGTCACGGAAGAAGATGAATTACGTCAACCATGCAAACTTGGCAAATCTAAAGAAAAAATTCGTGCATATCAAAATCAGAACTACTGAAAAGAGATAAAGACATGATTAATAAATAGAGGGGAGGCGAAGAGATAAAAAGAAAACAGAGAAAGAGGAAGACGATGAGAAAGGACAGGAACATAAAGGTTCATGCTCAGTCACCAGTTCTGTGCAATTGACTGCATTTCTGTGATTGCATGGTGAAAAAAGGTCGCATGAGTCACCTGACCTACCTTTTTTCTTCTCATGGAGAAGGGGGTTTAGGTTTACATTACACATGTCGCCGCTTTTACAGCACTCAATGACGAAAGTGTCATTGAGCGGGTTCGCATAGTGACATAAAAATGGATTCTCCGGTGGTAATAAGACCGACTTCTCCAAACACCTGCGATAAGAAAACACACGCGGCACACACAAGCCCTTATTATTGGTGTTCACTACAGTTATTTTTTGGGAATAAAAATGAGGACAGACAAAGGAGGCCACACAGATGGGTATCAGTGTGCGTGTTCCGACAGAATTCAAAGGGTACAAGTCAGTATGACTTACTCGTGATTACTAGAGTCCCTTTATACTGAGAGTCAAGACAATTCGGCTCATGGATGTCACAAACGGGAATAAAGATTACAGAAATTGAACGTTTTTCGTAATCTTTGATCGGCCCATTCTCAAATGCCTTTCTCCGTTCCTCCTCTCATTCCGTTTGTTCCTTGCCGAACCCGTAATTCCCTGGTCCATTCCAGATTATAATCTTTGCAATTGGTGAAAATGTAATCTTCATTCCCGTTTGTGACACTGTGGAGGCCTAAAATACGGGAACCAATCAGAAATGGATTCAAATTGTCTTGACTCTCAGTATAAAGGGACTCTAGTGATTACCGGCAACTATCCATCAGCACTACAGCGAGGGCAGGGCAAAATCAGTGCTCTTATTTCCCGGAACTAGTGCCGAATTTCGGAACTTTTGAAATTTTCCTGGATTTTCCCGGA